GGAAATGCAATGTCTAAGTTTCTTTTTTGTTTTTTTAATAAAGTATTTTTTCAAACAGAAATCATTTAAACAAAAAAAGAATCAAGATGATATATGTTGTCTGTTGATCTTTTCTTCAAATTGTATCAGCACATTTTGTCTTTGTCGCGCTTTCCTTCTTTGCATCAAGTTCATACAATAAAAAGGTATTGGTTGATATCAATTAGATTATTTAAAAAATGGTAAAACATATTAATTTGAACCATAGAATAGATGAATGATAGCTATTGTTAACATTGATCAGTTGGTGTAAAATTATATGCAAATTTGCCTGACATTTTTGTATAAATCTGTTTTGTGAATAAATTAAAAGCAACCGTGTTTTATATATTTAAGATACATTTATGATATTTTCACGATATATATACAAAAATTGCATAACTACGTATGATATTAGCATAATAAAATGGCCGGACACAGACTGGTCATTTTATTAATAGACAGTAATATGAACAGGTTATCATATCAAGAAAGGTATCAAGATATATATCAAGATAGGCAGATATCACGATATCATGGACTGATAGATAAATAGGATATGATATCAATCCATATTTGCGATGTTCTTTCAATAACGAAAACAAAGAAAATTACTAGTAAAACTTAAGAATATATGTGTGTGCGTCCGTGATAATCGTTCACCCAGACGTTAAAGAACTGTCAGCAGGCATTTCCGATTACACCGCGCACATGTTTGGTACTATGTTTGAAATACTTATAAAATCAACTGTTGTTGATACAAAAACATGACAAGTAAACTAATAGCACTTTACATACTTATATTGTATTTAACTAAAGTACTTTTATTCTTCACCGACTTTCATCTTTAATCTAACAAATATCAGCTTGGAATTTGACCTTTAACATTATAGTCTCGTGGAACAAAAGTAGTAAAAATAGTTAGGACTAAGTGTTTCATTGAATTGGCTAGAAAACCAAGTTTACATCATTGCGATAAGGAAAGCTTGTGAAATCAATCAGCGTATTTTCATACATTGTCAAAGACGTGATAAAAGCAATGATTTACATATATATTCAGCCTTTTGTTTTAGAACTTTGCGTCTTATGAAATTGTTGGTTAAGACTGTGTTATCTCTACTAAATTTTCGAGTATTAGAACTGCTAAAAAGGGATTTTAAGATTAATTGCATGTGTAGGACAATATTTGATAACATAAAAACAAAATATTAAAAGTGGCTAATTAAGTTTTGGATGCCAGACCTACGCCAGCACAGTACTATCCCTGTCATCTCGAAAGAATAATACAAAACATAACACTAATCTTCAAAAAGAACTTGTAAGGTAAATGTTGGATATATAGAAAAGAAGTAAATGTTTTACGGCGATACAATGCAACAGTTCTTACACTGGTGCGTTTTGTCTAATGCAAAACGAAGCAACTATATAAGGAGGCAACTCGTTTCACATATTATATTTAATTCAGGCCTTCTTCAACGATGTCTTCTAAACTCCCCTTATTACATGAAATCTGACAGTTGTACAGTCCGTTATCTGTGATGTGATAAGAATACACTGTATTCCCATTTGACGAAAATCTAAATAAAAATGTTTTGCAAGAAAGCAAGAAGTTTAAATTTCAGTGATAAGCTGATGTATGTGAATGTATTTATGTATTTTCTTATTGAGTACTTGAAAAATAATTTGTTTTTCCGCAGTCGTATTTAAAATAATTTACGACTCGGCTGCTTTGCAATCCAAAATGAAAATAGAATAAGTATGTTACCAAATTAAAGATTTAAAGAAATGAGAAACTGTTTAAGCATTTCCATTTCATGAATTAAAGCTATAAGTTTGTTGTTTATACAATAGTCTATGTAAATGTCCTGCCCTGTATGCTATGAAAGTCCATGTAAATTTACTGTACCCTTGTAGTAGGCTACGAGTATTTCAATCCTTAATATATTTTTCTAGATGACAATTATTATTATTAAGTATTACACATTATCACGTGGACAATTTCAATCATCAATAAATCTAATGAAAATAGATAAGCCGGTGCTAGGGAGCGTGGAAGGTAGCTAACGGTTACGTAATTTACCACTACCGCCCATGAATAGGTTTAATCAACAAAGCCTACAACATTTTCAATTTTGCCCTGTCTTGATCATGTTGATATTTCTTTAGGGATTCTGTTTTTGTCTATTTAGTAATAAATTCTTACTACACGTGCAAACTCGTAGCATTCAAACATCTTCCACTTGAGACCTGGCAGAATACAAAATACTTTGCAGTACAAGAAATAACAACTTTGTTTATATGAACAATATACCTCGGTATTCTACTTTAATCTTAATCCATGCAGTAACTGTAGTGAATATCCTGAAGTAAATTGTTGTGGTAAACCATTCTAAATGTTAACTACGATTAAGCATGATGTCCTTCGGGATCATTGTACTGTTTATAGATTACAAAGATGATACCTATCTTAATTTTGAAGGCGACAAAACAGACAGAAAACTTCTCAGTTATCATAGGTCTCTAATCACTTTTAGCAGGCAATATGATATCTCTCGTGTATTAAGTATACACACATTTGCATATGACAATAATTATAGCTATTTGTTGCTAGTTTGGATGGAAATATCAATGTTTTAAGCATTCAATGGTAAGAATATTTTGGAGATGATAGTATTTTGTAGTTGAGAGAGAGGAAAATCAAGTGTTGGTACATTGACATATATGTACCAGAACTTTTAAATACTCGTAGTTGAATGATTTTTAACCTCCAACATTCCCCGACAGAAATGTCTACAAGAATAATCAATCTCTTTATTATGACACAATACAAAAAGGACGTTAAACGTATTTCCACCATATATGATGACTGTTTTTGCCAATTACATGAATTAATTAGTTAAACCCGTTACTTCATATTATATATTTTTACTTCCTTCTTGTTTTTACCTTGACAGTGTTGACTTGCCTTGTAATAGAAGAAATAGAACCCATCTTGTTTAAGGTAGTACAGCGTACCACGGGGTACTCTATGAAGAACAGTGAGTTACTTTTTCATTTTTTATTGTTTTGTACATAAACAAATATGTCCTCAGACCGTTACATACACTTTCGTAAAATATAGCTACTTGTTGCTAGTTTGGACGAAAAAATCAATGTTTAAGCGATGGTTAGAATTATTTGGGGATTTTCTACTTTGTAACTGAGAGAGAGGAAAATCAAGTAAAGGTACTAGGACATGTATGTAGTTAGATAATTAAGCAGAACTTATAAATGCTCGTAAAGGTGTGTTAAATCTTAAACATTTCCTGAAAGAAAACGTCAGAAATATCAATATCTTTTAAGTTAGTAAAAATACTTTATATGTTATTAATTTTGTTTCCTACGTGATTTTCACAACATATTAAAAAATGTTTCTTGTTACACTCGTTTTTATCTAAATAGTGTTGACTTGCCTTGTAAACAGAAGATGTAGAACGCATCATATTTAAGATAGTACAGTGTAAAACAGGAAATACTTAATATTGATACTCCTTTTAGAACACCGAGTTACCTTTTCATTTTTCATAATCATTCAAATAAATTAAAAAAGTCACAAGATCATGAAAGACTTCCGTGATAATTTCGTTCGCTCTGGCATGAAGAAACAAAGGATTAACCTCAGGTAAAAATTGAGTTCCTTAATCGGGATAAAAAAAAGGTTGAATCAGATAAAAGTGTCGAATACGCGCTTGTCAGAAAACAAATTGATAATAATGATAATTTTGCACAAACTAAGGGAGAATGCAATAGTTTAAAGATATTTATCGAATGTTTATGAATTATTTGTCCTACATCAATAAGATAAATTAAAGTTTGTATTTGAAGTTTTCATGACTTCTTTTTATGGCAATACGTTTTTTCTCCCTGAGATTTCTGCACTTCAACTCAGTGAGATCTATCTACATACATAGTTTCATGATAATACTTTCCAGAGTGATCAAGCTATGTCCTGTACAAAGTTTAAAGTGTAAAAATAAACAAAGGGCAATAACTCTAAAATTAGGGTAGGTAGGGTTACGACTCCTCAGCACTGCATTTGTACTCAGTGAGATCTATTTATCTACAAAGTTTCAAGTTTATACCTTTTATAGTTCTCGAGTTATGTCCAGGACAAAATTCAAAGTGTAAAAATGTAAAAAGGGCAATAACTCCAAAATTAGGGATCAGAGGGTTATGTTTCTTATTCACTGCACGTCTACTCTGTGTGATTATAAACAGTTGTTACTCTTTATAGTTCTTAAGTTATGCCCCGGACAAAGTTAAAAGTGTAAAAAGGAACAAAGGGCAATAACTCCAAAGTAAGACAAGGCAGAGTTATGCTTCTTTTGCACTGCACATCTACTCAATGAAATCTATCTACCTACAACGTTACTTGTTAGTACCCCTTGTCGTTTTAGAGTTATGTACCGTTCAAAGTATGAACAAAGGGAAATATCTCCAAAATAAGGGTAAGCAATAACTCCAAAAATTAAGCAAGGCAGAGTAACGATTATTTTGCACTGCACTTTAACTTTAAGAGATCTATTTACCTGCAAAGTTTCTTGTTAATACTCTGTCGTTTTAGAGTTATGTCCCGGACAAAGTTCAAAGTGTAAAAACAACAAAGGGCAATAATTTCAACATTAGGCAAGACAGGATTATGGTTCTTCTACATTGCACTTCTACTTAATGAGATGTCAATTTGAAGTTGATATCTTTTGTAGTTATAGAGTTATTTGCCGGACTAGAAATCTGCACCGGACCGACCGACTGAATGACCGACCACCAGCTGACTCCAGTATACTCCCTAAAACTTTGTTTGTCGGGGGATTTAATAAAGACATTCGTTAACGTAGACACTTATATATATGAATGTTTTATAGAACTTAATGTCGCATTTATGAGAAGAATCGTTCCTTATGCAAGAAAACAAAACCGTTCATGATTGTTAAATAAACGTTGTTTATCTAGATGACTGTAGACACAATAGCTTTCCGTAGTAGTTTAAAGCTTTACAATGTTTGTATTTCATGTCATATTTATATAAAAAAATTGCAATCAATTAATCTATCACTTTAGAAACTTTATTTTTAAAGAACAATTAGGTTGATTCATTATCTTTATCATATTAACACATGTTAAACAAGTCCGACATTGTTTTGTCAAATAAAAATGTAAAAATATAAGTAAAGTTAGTTCATCAGGAGATCTAACTGAGATGTACAGGAAACAATAAAATAAATCAAGCTAGTAATTTGTAGAGTTATGTATCTGGCATTATAGGCTCAATGATAAAGTTTACATATTTCGCATAAATCAACCGCATTTTGAAAGGACAACCTTTGTGTTCATTATGAATAGACAGTTGACGAGTAATGTCCCTTATACTTTTAACTCTATGTACACAGAATTGTTAAATTACAAACAACAAAAGAAACAAGATGTATGAAATATCATTTTAGAAATGGAGATAAATCAATATTAACAGGTCAAAATATATCAGTTCTTGATTTTTGAATCTAATGAAGATTAACGAATAATAATCATATATAAATTGTCAGTTTTTATAGAGAATACTAGCATGGCCAAGTGTAACTATGATCCCGCAAGATACCTCATATGGAATTAGACACGAGGGCGAGTTTTCTGTCAAATAAAACAACTATTTTTTACAAACAAACTGCCATTTTAATCAATAGTCACTACATGCATATGACCTAAGTAAAAATCAAGTTTGAGAAATAAAAAATTCTAAATAAGCGACCTTTTATACCGTTCTTTACTAAAAGTGAAGTTACTAAAATTAGTTCACACATATAATTATCATCATATTATAATGTATAATTGGAATTACCCATGTGTAAGAGTTTACAATACACAAAATGATGTTAATATTGAAAGTGATGAAGTGGTCCGTGACTAACCATTTATATACCGGAAAGGTCGCGTTATAACAAGTGTTGGTGGACATGTAAACACAATATATACAGATATATTTACAAGTGTTTCAACACTTATGTGATTAAACTATTTATAATACTATGTACATGTACATGTACTGATCCTTGAGCATATTTAAGGACGTTTTGGCGAGTTTTCATATAAACATATAGGCAAAATTAAAACTGTTCTATAGAATTTCTTTAAACTTTGCATGTTGAACAGTTTTAATTTTGCCTTAACGTCTATATGAAAACTCCGGAAAACGTCTTTAATTCTACAACAAGGTAAAACTGACGTTGGTGAGAAACGTGATATTCTAACACGCTTCACGCTTTTCTCCTATCGAACAGATATGGAAACTAAGTGCATTATTACATGATAATCATATGTGTACAACATAAAAAGGGAATGCTAACACGCAATAAGACGTCACAAATGACGTCAATAAATCAAATGATAATAACTTCTACTCTGAATGTAGTTAAACATTATCTCAGAATCTCTTTTATAAGCATGTTTGAATGGAAATGAAATTATTTTTTCGTGGTAATATTCCTACGCAATTGAACTTGAATCATCGTGAATTATTCTACAACCATGCTCTCAAAATTGATGTCTATTTCCTAAACATAACGTTGCAAATCTTCAATAACAAACATTTCTACTTCTTAAGTGTCATTTGTTTTCCTGTACATGATATCTCGAAATGCGATTTATCAAAAATACAGAAAAATGTAACTAGCATAGTCTACTACATGAGAGAAATATAAACTATAGTATTCTACTGATTTGTTCCATACTTTTGTTTTACAACAGTTAGTGTTTCTTCCATTTTTTTCAAACGGCTGTTGATATGTAGATCAAAACTTTCGAGAGTAGAGAGCATAACGGATAACTTTGGAACTAATCCTTGGCATTTATCACATGTCCAAAAAAGACCGGAGTGACATTCTTCTTTGCACCTCAATAACACTTTGTAAGTATCTATAGGCAACCCTGAACAGTTGATACAAAATTCTCCATTACAAAGGCAACATTGTAAACAATTCTGAAAGTCACTGGGCAATTGTCTGATTGTTCCATACTGTTTGGAATTGCTTACTTCTGAGGCAGACGAAGGCGGTGATAAGTCGGCACTGACATCTTGTGGTATGGTACAACGATGAGGAACTTTAAAACTTTGATTTTGAAAGGGTATTATTTGGGATGTAAGCATTGTTGTTTCATTAGTTTTCATATCTGCTTGCTTTCCAGAACAATTTACATCGTCAGGTGTAAAAGTATATGCTTGGGTATCTGCTATTTCTCCATTTTCATTTGTCATGATTGCCTCAGAGGAGTTTTCATAAGAATGCGTATCATTACCTCCTTCACTTGAATCATTTGTAACACGGTCGTCGGTTACATTCTCTGTATTATCTTGTTCATTCAGCATGCCTCGGTAATTTTCTAAACCTGTGGATATGTATTCCTCGGGTAATAGAGGACGAGCAGTATATAACGGTTGCATATCATCTGCATCTAAATCATCTTTATTTAAATGAGTCTGTTTTTCATCACTATTGGAATGTTCATCTGCTTTTTCATCAGTAGTATTGTTCATCATTGTTGGTTTAACAATATCCGTTGATGATGTATCAAGACTGAAATCATTTTTTATTGACCTTACATCAGTTACCTTACACACTTCATCACACGTATGTGTTTCATGAGTCTGACCTTCATTTTGTAATTGTTGTTGTGGTTGCAAGTGAATACTTTGTGCATTATCATCTTCACGTTTTTCAGATTCAAGATCCGTTTTCTGCTTAATAGGTTCGCTTGAGGGATCTGAACTTTTAAACGAAGTGTTTAGTATCTCTGTCAACGTAACTTTAGCATCTGATTCGCTAGATGTTTTCTTTCTCAAATAGATAGCATGTTTGGAAGCAGCGTACTTAATATGGTGGATAAAACTTAACTTATACGCATAAGTAGTCAAACATACTTCGCATACATAATAGTTCACGTTATTCTCCGGATCGAGCATGCTTGGTTTTAACATAGCAGTAGCAACCTCAAAGTCCTGCAATATTCTAAGATTTAACGGTGTATTTTTCCTCATATTTACCATGCCTTTTGTTTTAGGTCTTTGACATTTTTCTCGTTCTTCACTGTCGAGCAAAGCACCGTCAAAGTGTTTATCATTTATATGATGCTTCAAGATAAACCTAGTCGCAAATGAATCTCCACAAGTGTCACAAGTAAACCGACATTTGTCTGATTTGTTCACATGATCATCATATTTTCCTTCTTTCCAATGTGTGTTTATCATGTGCGAGCAAAGACGGGTCTCGTCATCGAAATTATCACCGCATTCTGTACAAGTCAAATGTTTAATTATGTCTCTCTGGTGACTTTCTTTAATATGTATAACCATAATTTGTTTTGAATTAAATATTCTTTGACAAAACAAACATTTGTGTTTTTTATGCGTTATACAATGGCTTGCATGTTTACTTTTATCATCGAACGTTTTTTTGCAAATTTTGCACGTGAAAACCCCATCATTGTGTAACGCCATATGGTTCTGAAATATAAAGGTAAATGTAAAACATAGTTTTACAATAGTAAGAACAGTTGCACATACTCTGACAGTTTACATTTTTAACATTTGTTTGTCTAAATCAATATTTAAGGTATTCTGTAAAATAAATGTTAAGCAAATGCCAGAAAATGAAGTTTTAAAAAAGGTTTCTCATTTTGAACTTAATATATATGTGAATTGTATTATATACATTATGACCTATGGGGTAGTAAATGTTTAATACATTTGTTGTCCCTGATATTGTAAAGTTAAGTATCTATACTTGTTTAGAAAGTTCACAATAAATATTAACATTTTGGGTGAATATAACGCATGTGACAGTAACACTCAGTTTACGGTGTTAGTTTGCCCTTATATTACTTGCATATGATTTGTACATAAGAATGCATTGAAGGAGCACATTTGTCTCGGAGCACATTTTTCTCACGAGATGTGACTGATGTGTTCGTAAACATTCATATTTGAGACCAAATGGAAATGAGACAGATAAATGTGTTCGACACACAATAGAAAGGACACTCGAAGCACATTTGTCTCACATTCTTCCGGTAATAATTATGCTCGTCTGTATACCGGCTTTCATCCATTGTTTTGTGTTTTCTGTATTTTCTGTACGAAATCTGCTGTGGTCATAGTATTATTTTTACAATAGGTTTATCTCTTAGATTTGGTTTGCTACTGTATTGCTAATCATGGTCATGCAACTACATAGTTAGGTGAAGAAGCAGGCGCTTGTTTTGGTTGAGTCTATTATGTTTTGTTTAGGGGGTGAGTTGTCATACACAAATTTATAATTTATATGCATTTATTTTTTTCCAATGATTGTTATTATCTTAAATGCTTCTGGGATTATTGTTTTATCAATTCATTTGTAAATAAGATTGTTATATGTCTATTAACGGAATAATTTTAATGAACACGAAATTTGTTCACACCTTTATGTGTATTGATAACGTGATGGTTTAAGCCAATGAAAACACATCAATATTATTACAATCAGGCAAAGAAAAAGGGTGCAAAGAGTACAAAGAGTAAATCGATAATCTTTATGTAGCAAACAAACTTTGAATTGCAAGTATTTTTTCATATCTTTTCGGCAGGATAAACTGTCCGAGGAGGGCCAGGCATTTTCGTATCGTAAAATGGCTGCCATTTACAGTATCAAGTGATTATCCCAAGCACCACCGCGACTTTGCGCGGGAATTATGTCTCCCCCACCTCGGGGGGAGACATATTGTTTTTGCCCTGTCCGTCCGTCAGTCCGTCCGTCCGTCAGTCCGTCAGTCCGTCCGTCCATTCTTCGTTTCCGGACGATAACTAGAGTTCCTTTTGACCTACAGCCCTCAAACTTCATAGGATGATTGGTCTTATAGAGCTAATGATCCCTATTGTTTTTGGGGTCAGTAGGTCAAAGGTCAAGGTCACACTGACCGTTGGTCAATTTCTCGTTTCCGGATGATAACTAGAGTTCCTTTAGACCTACAGACCTCAAACTTCATAGGATGATTGGTCTTATTGAGCAGATGATCCCTATTGTTTTTGGGGTCAGTAGTTCAAAGGTCAAGATCACAGTGACCGTTGGTCAATTTCTCGTTTCCGGATGATAACTAGAGTTCCTTTTGACCTACAGCCCTCAAACTTCATAGGATGATTGGTCTTATAGAGCAGATGATCCCTATTGTTTTTGGGGTCAGTAGGTCAAAGGTCAAGGTCACAGTGACCGTTGGTCAATTTCTCATTTCCGGATGATAACTAGAGTTCCTTTTGACCTACAACCCTCAAACTTTGGGGAGACATATTGTTTTTGCCCTGTCCGTCCGTCCGTCTGTCCGTCAGTCCGTCAGTCCGTCCATTCTTCGTTTCCGGACGATAACTAGAGTTCCTTTTGACCTACAGCTCTCAAACTTCATAGGATGAATGGTCTTATTGAGCAGATGATCCCTATTGTTTTTGGGGTCAGTAGTTCAAAGGTCAAGGTCACAGTGACCGTTGGTCAATTTCTCGTTTCCGGATGATAACTAGAGTTCCTTTTCACCTACAGCCCTCAAACTTCATAGGATGATTGGTCTTATAGAGCTGATGATCCCTATTGTTTTTGGGGTCAGTAGGTCAAAGGTCAAGGTCACACTGACCGTTGGTCAATTTCTCGTTTCCGGATGATAACTAGAGTTCCTTTAGACCTACAGACCTCAAACTTCATAGGATGATTGGTCTTATTGAGCAGATGATCCCTATTGTTTTTGGGGTCAGTAGTTCAAAGGTCAAGGTCACAGTGACCGTTGGTCAATTTCTCGTTTGTTGCTGTAAAACTTTTAGCTAAACAACTGTCTGTCTACTCTGTATATAAACCTCCGTCATTGCCGATTAACTTGTTCCTTCAAAAGCTTACCCTTGTCTTGGAAAATTCACCAACAGAAAACTGCATAGTTCTAGGAGACTTCAACATTGACCTCATTCAATATTTAGAACATCCATTGACCCACACTATGTTACGACATCGCTTTAAACAAATAATAAACAAGGCTACTACAGCACACAACACACTTATTGACCATATCTACCAGAGAGGCTTGATTGTGAAAACGAGTGGAGTCATCCCAACACACTACAGTTATCATGATTTGACATACATTGAAATTTGAGTTGTCTTTCAATAGTGTAAAAAATCTGACAATATGAACGTTTGTTTCAAGTATCATCAAAATCCTTCAAAGGGTTGAAGAGTTATGGAGCAGACACAATTTCCTTTAATTTCGTTTGTGAAACTATATATGATATGACATTCAAGTGTCAAGTAGACCTTGACCTTGGAACCAGCCATACGAAACATGTACTCTACACGTTCTCTGGATGTGGTGAATTTTTGTTTCAAGTATCTACCAGAGAGGCTTCATTGTGAAAACGAGTGGAGTCATCCCAACACACTACAGTTATCATGATTTTACATACATTGTAATTTGAGTTGTCTTTCAATAGTGTAAAAAAATCTGACAATATGAACGTTTGTTTCAAGTATCATCAAAATCCTTTAAAGGTTTGAAGAATTATGGAGCAGACACAATTTCATTTAATTTCATTTGTGAAACTATATATGATATGACCATCAAGTGCAATTTCGTTTGACGCCCGCCTGCCATACGCTGATTGAATAACCAGGATTTTCAAAATTGAATACCTGGTTAAAAACAAACAGTTTAGGAAGCATCTTCTCATACAACCTTAACAATAGAAACCATCCATAGACAGCCTTCATTGAAGTGACTACCGGGTATTTACATTATCTTATCTCCATTTCCATTCCTGTTTCCATTCACAGTTATTCTCAGCAGTGGGGGAGACATGCGCTTTTTTACAAAAGCATCCTCTAGTTTTAATTATAGCTAGCCTCGGCGCGTCGCATAGGATGGAAAATACCTTTTTCATATTTCATTGTAATAGATATTTAAAAACTGTGTCTTTCGTTTTTTTATCAATATATAACCAATAAAGATGTTAATATGAATAAATAATAATATCTCAAATCTGTGACTATGATTTACAATGAAATTCTACCTTAAGTGTATTAAAAAGTTTTTTTTTAATTTCCTGTAATTTTATTTTGTGATTATGCTTCAAAGCAGCCATTTGACCGTGAATTTTGTTTTCATATTTTGATTTTTTCTTGAAATCATTTTTCTCATCTGAAGGCATGCAACTTTAATATGATGATACATTAATTACATTCCTTGAAAATGTTTAAAGATATAAAATATCCCATGACATGTTTGTTCATTTTACATTACACCTATAATGCAGCAAGCATAAAAAGTCTTCACAAAAAGTAGTATGCAATCGTACCTATATTACATACGAATGTATGTAATATTTTTCTTGTTAATACCATTTTTAGGTCACTTCCGGTCAATCGAAAACTTCATGCCTCTGCATAAGTGTCATAGATTAACTTATTAACTTATAGAACATCCCTGTTCTGAATGTCAAAATGAATTTTTTTATCAGTTTTTTTTCAGAACCCAAACACATATGCAGCGAGTCCATTCTTATCGTTATTAATTGTGACACGTTTCTTTCCGATGCTTAAAATTATAAATGATTTAAGAAATATTCTAAGCAACAACAAAATAGTATCTACGGTGGCATAAAAGGAACATATGATTTTTGCGACGGACGCGCCCTCAGGCGCGTTCAGAGCTAAGTCATCTACACATGGGATTTCGTCTGCTACAATCGCACAAAGTGTCCTCAACCGAATAACAGCCCATGAAATGGTACATGAATTTGATCCTTTAAAACTCACATTCCTTGTCGGGATATCTTAAAATCTTCCATATTTAGCCTTTTCAATTTCAAATCATGTTATCCAAGTTATAATATGGACGTATTTGATTGATAAAAACGTTGTAGTCCCGTAGTATTATTGCGCAATATGCAAATTACTGCCGAAACGATTTACAGCTGTCGAAAAAGTAGGACAGCAAATATACTATAATAAAGGTGTAAGCTCTGAGTTCCAAAAAATTATTAGTAGGACATAAATATTTCTACATTATACAAAACATAATTATTAACAAATCAAAGTTTTTTGTGACTCTAGAATAACTCGCGCATTAATAAAATTTTCGTGACGCATACCGCGGGTTTATCTATACTGTTTATCTATACTGTATCTAATTTATTAATAACTGCTGAATATTCAGCAGTTATTAATAAATTAGATACAGTATAATGGTTAGTATAAATATCTATTTTTGAAAATGCATGTAACAAGAGAGTTTTTTCAACACTTTACTACCATGTAGTCTTTCATGGTAATCTTTATTGAAGGCAGTTATAATACCAGTTCTACTTCCGATTCTTGTGGTTTGTTTACATATTTTTCTAGGTCACGATATGAGTTAACATTCGCTATTCTAAAAATAGATTCTGCTTCACCTGCAGGCGATTAGGGTGTACACATTATACATGTAATAAACCAGCGGATATTAACTTTGCTCACATGCAATACTTACAATTGTAAGAAAATGGAATTTAGTGTGAAATTGAAAAGAACAGCTTTAGTATTTTAAATTAAAATAAAAACGATGTGCTCTGGCCTCTACATCTTTACCTTGTAAATAAAAAAATCTAAATAAATACACTTTTAATTGCTGATGATTTTAACCAAAAATATTTTAAATGAGACATATCCAAGAGAAATAAAAATACAAATGACTTATATTTTATTGTCTATATGCCCACTATGATATAACACGAAGCAAAGTTTTTAGGCATAAATTTCATTCTGCTTTCAGATCCGCCATTGAAAAAAGCACTTACAACGTACATGAGTTCCTAAAAGAATCCAGGTAATGTCATAATTATGAAATATCGGGCCTCACAAAATCGGACGACGACGAGACAAGAAGGGAGGCACGATATTGCAACTTGAGATCTTGCAATGCCGAAGTATCCCGTCAACGAGATTTCACGGTAAAATATCATCGCTTCATGTTTTGCTCGTGTCTCTCTGTTAAATATCGCGAATCGCTTCGTGTATGTGGACTATGGTAAAGGAACCGGAGCAGGAGCTATTTGGCCTTGTCTTGTTAGGGCGGACAGGTTATTGGACACTATTTTTACGTCTAAATTTAAGTTGCTTCATATTTACGTTTCATCATGGATATGCTTTTGACATTTAGTCAAAGGTTGTACAGTGTATTTGATAAACTGGATTTCAATTTTAGTATTGTTGGTTTTTATTCGTTACGGCAGTGTGATTTTTCAAGTGATTTTCACAGTAACAAGTGTAACGCTAGAAATTTTCCTTAGAAGATACTTGACCCCTACGTCATCATTTTATATCAGTTTTATCATAACTGTTAAAAATGTATTAAGTATTTGTTGTCTAAAATGGGTCTAGCTATGTTTTGTAGAAATGTTTGAAAAATGTCAGTTTTATTACGAATATAAAGGCAATACTATTTAGCGGTATATGGTCTCGCGTCGACGTACGAGATATAAAGTGAGCGAGATGCGAAACGAGTTGCCATATTGTTTCGTTCAAATATCGCCCAATTACGGTGTTCTGTTTGGACATAAGTAACATATTTTGTCTCCCTGAACCGCTATGTACGATGTTACAATGGTGAAAGACGATGATACGATGCCACGATGATGAAAATAATATCGCGTTTTCACCATAATGCCATCGCAGTTTCATCATTGTACCATCATATTTTCACCATCGTAACATCATGATTTCACCATCGTACCATCGTTGTTTCACCATCATACAATCGTTGTTTCAAGTTCATATAATTGTGTTTTCACTATCAGACCCTCGCGTTTTCATCATCGTACCATCGTTCTTTCACCAGTGTACAATCATGAACGGGATTCCGTATGTTTCAGTGTGCGCAATCACATTTCTTGAGTTAGAGATATTAGAGTTAATTGTTTCACTGTAGGTTTTAGCTTTCAGATTTCATAAAAAAGCATTAGCAAAACATATTGATGGTTGCACTTGACATGAGGTAAAACGGCGAAAACATTCCTGCTTTGGGAAAATATGTGACAAATAATTCATAAAAAATGACACGAGACAAATGTGCTTTCTTGTCCCTTAAAACACATAAGACAAATGTGCTTTCTTGTCCCTTGAAAAATTTGATCGGAGCACATTTGTCACACAAATGATTTGGGTAGACATTTGGGGTCCCATTTGTCTCACATCGTAAGACAATTGTGCTCCGAGACAAATGTGCTCCTACAATTGAAGAAGCACATTTGTCTCGGAGCACATTCGTTGTTATTATGGTGAGCTGTATGCTTAAAATGACATTATGTCCATTCAAGGTACATAAAGATATTATACATTTTGCCATAATTCCTTTCAATTTTATAATTTACTTTGCATGAACCATAAGTAACTCAAGTGGCCAAATGAAATGTTGCAAATATCCAAACAGTTCACTTTATAAATTAAAGGGCTGCAAGCTCTGTGTTATTTTCTGATCTTTGCAATCTAAATCGTACTGTATATTTGTAATATCTTTATGTATTTTCCTGTATAAGTTTATTTTGAAATACTATAATTTATTTTGCAGGACGGCGAGTTGCAGCGTTTAGATTTTTTGCTAATAATAGTTTGAGATATACACATACGAATTTTTGCATGACCAGAGTTTCTACTTGCATCATTAAATCATTTATGTTCATTTTTTATGACAGCCACACTTTAACCTTGCATATCCTGGCTAATTCCTAAGAAAGAATGTTAAAATCGCTAAAAAGACTTTACTTTATTCTAGTTAAACCTGTTGTTTATCACTGATGTTAATGATTTAGCCCAAACAGTCCGACATGTATATATTTCACTACGCGACAGTCAGATTTATTTGTGTGATACGCGCAGAAGTCTTCGGTAATCGACGGCGCTAAAAACAGAATTTTGTTTACGTGGATTAAATTATCGGGTGCTTAACTTATGATAGAAATTGATTATCGATCGTCGACTGCCCTAAATTTGTCCCTGTCCTAGAGTCAACATCCTTACTTTATTTTTCAGAAAGTGTTCATTTCGGGGCGTTTAATTCCGATTACAACAAACCGAAGCTTTACGGAAATAGCCGAGTAATTTTCATTGATTAAAATGATATTCATCCGCTTAATTTTTTATTGTGCATTTATTGACAATGCTATAAGCTCCTTTAAAACTTTGAAGCGTTGTAATTTGTTGAATGCTTGTAACAAAATAAAAATATTTCTTTCTTTTACATCGCTAGTTTTAAGCTGTTTTACTTGTTGTTAGGTTTGTCGGTGTGTCTGAGATTGAATGTCACCATTGTATTTTAAACGAATTTTAATGTTTTAGGCAGATAAATATTTTCACACAATGTTATAAATGTCAATTTGCCCTTTCTAAAAAAATGAGAAAATTATTCGTTTCTGAGGCATAATGTGCCTTTAAATGTGTGTGACTGAGAGCACCATGCAAAAAAAAGCTGACTAATATGGCGGCCCGGCAATTTTATTTTATCGGAATTACAAACCGGTTCCTTTATTTTAAAAAAAGGTAACAAAAAGCGGAATTACCGAATTATACGTACATTTTTTAGAAAGAATAGCCACCGTGTATATCCAGTAACGCCGGAATGTGAAAAATAACACACGATTTGTGCAATAAGAAACGCAGAATTATGCAATAAATGGCGGCTACCTGACACGATTTCCAACGCGGTAAGAAAACTGGCCAATATATTTTTTATTTGACCGGACTGAAAAATATCAATAGCCGCATACGGCTGAGAAGACATAACTCTTCATCCCTCATCAAGATTATTTCCATTAAATTGTTTACTTTTCAAGATCATTCGTGAAAATGATGGCTTGACCACCGATTTGAGCGAGATTTTTGCTTATAAGTACATCAATGCATATTATTCCGTATAATTTAGATTTTAGTAGGCAAGTGACATTTTCTTCTTGCGACATGATATAGAAAATTGAAAATAAACTGATAAAATGTGATTCAAGCCGTTTTAATGAGGTAACGCCGATGTACGTGAATTGTGCCTCACGGTAACGCCGGAAAATGTGTTTTTACACAGGTTTAACGCCTTATATCGGCGAATATTATCAAGTTATTTTCGACCTATAGTCAATGTATTTTTTTCGTAACTTATTAAGAAATATATATGAGATATATTCACGATTTCAACTTCACAAATCCACGATTTCAACTTTATGAAGTTGAAATCGTGAATTCGTGAAGTTGAAATCGTGCATTCGTGAAGTTGAAATCGTGAATTTTTGAAGTTGAAGTCGTGAATTCGTGAAGTTGCAATCGTGAATTCACGAAGTTGAATTCGTGAAGTTTAAATCATGAATTCATGAAGTTGAAATCGTGAATTCTTGGAGTGAAGTTGAAATTGTGAATTCATGAAATTGAAATCGTGAATTCGTGAAGTTGAAATTGTGAATTCACGAAGTTGAATTCGTGAAGTTGAAATCATGAATTCATGAAGTTGAAATCGTGAATTCGTGAAGTTGAAATCGTGAATTCGTGAAATTGAAATCGTGAATTCGTGAAGTTGAAGTCGTGAATTCATGAAGCTGAATCGTGAATTCGTGAATTCCATATTTTGAAAACGGGAATTCGCGAAGTTGAAATGACCCTACCGGTCTTTCGTAATTAACCCTACAAATTATTTGTTCCATATCATTTTAAACTAAAAGAATGGCATAACCGTTACAATCTCCAATATTGTTTGGTACTTACTTAATCGGTAAAGTGAGGGAAAAATGATAGTTTAGATTAAGTACAAAAAATCTGATAGGCATTACCACCTCCATATCAGACATGTAAATGTTATATATGTATAAAATGTTTCCCTGACTCATAAAGCACATGTTAAAATGAAATGTATTGCTATATATAAAAAACACTTGTTATTGTCAAGCCTGTTTCATTCTTTGCTTCATATATATATTTTAAATATATTCCTATTGTTGATATAGCTATACTAAAGTGACGTACGTATTCCAGTATTTCACTGAAATCAGAAATGACTGTGTTACATGTAATGGCAGTGTTTCCTTGTTTTTTTTGTGTTTTATTTGGGTTTTTTATTTGTTTTTTTTTTCGGGGGGGGGGATAAAATTGTAATTCCGTCAAGTTTTGAGTATAGTAGATCTATATGTCAAGTTTTGAATAAGTTATATATAAGTGTCATCCTGAATGTAATATATGGATTCTTTTATCACCCTAACTTAAGATTAATTTTTCAAACATTTTAATTCTGGATTAAAAGGTTAAATAGGAGTTATTTAGTAAGTGTTTATTACTTAAAATACCTTTTTAAGTTATACCTTTGTTTAAAAAGTAAGAAATCAATTCCTTACAAAGATTGTTTGGAAATTGTAAGAATAAGATACTTGCCATATAGGATTTTACTGTGGCCATCTTGGCATGGCATAAACGACATTCGTATGCAGGTCTTTTAGCCCCATGAGAATACATATGGTAGGTGAGATTCTGTGATGTCTTAAAACGTTCTCCACATTTCTCACACTTAAAACGTTTAAAGTCATAGTGGCTCATACTTATATGAACTCTTAAACCATTTTTCGTGTCGAATCTCCTCTCACAATAACTACACCGGAAAAGTAGAATTCCGTCCCCTCCTTTGTTATGTGTATATCTAATATGAGTGTCTAAAGTTCCTTGATATATAAATGTCTTGTGACAGTGCTCGCATTTGTGTCTTTGTCCTCTCGAATGAATACGTTTATGTAGGGTCACACTATTAGTGCTATGAAATGTTTTTCCACATATATCACAAGACGGTAAAGGTTTGCTAGATTTTGCAGTCGACATTTCCTCTATAATACCGATATTTAGATACCTACATATGAACACTCGTTTACTCAAAACATAAATTCACGGGGTTCATTTAAACAACCCGACATTAACTCGACACATTAAAAAAGCCACTGTTCTGAAAATAATAACAACGGAATGTGTATATGTTAATCAACTAAATATTAAATAAATATGGCGCGAACACTAATAATATCCATAATAATGCATATATATCTCCCTGACTAATGATTCAAATATTTTAGTCTACTGCGTATTTGCTGAGTCACAGATAAAATCACGCTTAAGAAATCCTGTTTTAAGTCTTAAGTTTTAAACCTTGCTCGTATGTATTTATCATACAAATAACCGGCTTGTAATATGATAGTGTTCAACATACAACACAATATAGAGGTATAATATATCTATTCGACTACCACATTTATACTACGATTTCTACTTAACGATATTTTCTTCATGCTTATCAGTCTTAATCCGGTAACCCAAAATCTGCATATAAATAGAATGTGAATTTCCCAATAATTACTATAAATAGATTCATTTTATAATAAGGTCGAACTATTTATTCATAAGATCTTTATAAGTTTCACATAATCCACATTTTTATTGTAAACATGTGTACGTTTTTATGAACCTGAACAGAGTTATTAATATACAGGAAGTCACTAAAATGATTACTCATTCACGTCACTATTGGCGACATGTGTAAACTTAACTCCGATAACCTTAAAATAGAATCGCACCGCTAATTTAGATACACGAAAAGGGTATTCGAAAAACGATGTAAAATAAAATTTTAAACCGTTTCAATGCTATCTCTATGCTACAATACCACATTGAAGTAAGGTTATTCGTAAGATGAATACGTTTAACTATACGGAAGAATGGTGTAAATAGAGAAATACTATTATAAATCCTGTCGTTATTGATCGACCGGATCATGACACAAAATGTTTATCTAAAATGTTTTACATGTACACACTGGTTTCCCGTTGTATCAGTAATCGTAGGATAGTAAAATTTTAAACGTTCAACTAATAAAATACGTAGTTAATACTGCATTAAGATTAGCATAAAGAACACGCGTTTTAAATGTTGATTTCTTTGTTAATCTGGCGTAAATTTTGTTAAAAATAGTGACATAGCGCCAAAGGAATATAATATAACGTTAATGAAATAAATTAATTCATAGTATGACAATATTATAAGTGATATAAAACAAACGAACACGTTTTGATATTAGGAATATTTTAAAATGGCGTAGTTGTGTATATTCATTTATATAACAATACGATGGCAAGAAATGAAATAAAGCGGGATGGATTTAAGTCAGCCAATCAACAAGCAATTAAATGTGATATATGTGATCAAACGTTTGCCAGGAATAATGCCCTTATTAGACATAAGCGGATTCACACAGGGGAAAAGCCGTATCACTGTATGTACTGCAAAATTAGTTTTCTGCACTCTTCAAGATATAAGAGACATATGGATTTTGAACATGGAATTGGGAAACATCGTGCCATTCTCAAACAAAGCAACAGGAACATCGGTAAACCTCATACAATGTCAAGGAACACATTGGAGCCTGACAACAGGGAAACATCTGTCCCTAGCAGTAGCAACAACAACAACAGAGGAGTCGTCAGAAAATGTAGTATCTGCACAAGGTATTTCTTTTAACTGATCATTTACGATTAAGTGGAAAATATAAGGCAGAACTAGTATTTTAACTAATTTGGTGATAAGGTATTCATTCGTTAAGTCCTAATGGATATACTTCAGCATGCGTAATTGGCATTGTAACAGACTCTGTCAGCAAGTAAAATACATCTTATTGTTATTACGGTTGGGATATACATAGCACCTACACAGTGTAACTCATAATTATGGCGACTTTCCAGCTTTACTGGTAAATGAATACCCCCGGAGCCTCTCTAGCACAAACGGGCACCTACGTAGAATCACTGACGTTACGATAGCTGGATAGCTTTTTCTTATGAAACAAAACCCAACCCCCAACCCCTATAAATTTAAAATGATTAGTATCAGATAGTAATATCACAGTATAACGAAATACATGTACATGCTATCGTGTTTTTTCCACTTTAACGTAAGTTTTTTGTTTGTTTTTGTTTTTACACCGTGTATATCCAGTAACGCCGGAATGTGAAAATAACGCACGATTCGTGCAATAAGTAACGCCTAAATGTGCATTAAATGGCGGATACCTGACAGGATTTCCAACGTGGTAAGTAAACTGGCCAATATATTTTTTACTTAACCGATTGAAAAACATGTGAATAGCTTAGACATTTTTCTTTATCCCTCATCAAGATTATTTCCAGGAAATTGTTTACTTTTCAAAATCATTCCTGAAAATGATGACTTGAATATCTTTTTTAGCGAGATTTTGGCTTTTTGTCGACTCGTATAAGTACAACAATCCATATTATACCGTATAATTTCGATTTTAGGTAGACTAGTGACATTTACGCAAATTCTGGTGATATAGAAAATTGAAGTAAGCTGATGAAATGGGATTTAAGTCGTTTCTATGAGGTAACGCCGATGTACGTTAACAGTGCTTCGCGGTAACACCGGAAAATGTGTTTTTTTCATATATGGTACTGAATTGTTACACATGTTTAACGCCATTAATTGGCGAGTATCAGCACTTTTCAAATATAATTTTGTGGGGAAATTTTAATTCATTATATACAGAATTTATTTTAGTTTGATTGCGTAGAAAAGACACAGTCTCGAATCCGTCCCTGAAACCACTGAGCTATAGTTCCTTATATAAGTCTTTGTTGTAGTGAGTACGAAGCATGAACAAATGCGTGAACATTTTCTTACTCAAGGAAACAACGGGTAGCAACGGGTACGCAAAATCTCAATACCTTGAAATCGTAGTTATGAAAATGAGCTTTGTTTATTAAATTATAGATTTTTTCATTGTGCTCAATCTTTATGAAGAAGTCAACTTTTCATGGCATGGATAGATGAAATCTTCTATAAACACGTCCCTAGTAGATCTACATATACATGTACATATACATTGAGTAAGTTACCAAAATATATTCAACCTATCTTTAGTCTATGCCACCATTTACCTGGTAAATTTATGAAATGGTTTTGCTCAGCTGTGATTTAAGAACAGTTCATTCAAAGACTGAGAGATTGCAATTAGATATTTAATGTATTTGTACAAATGAGCTACCTGTATGGATGTGAACTGGCTCTGTACTGGTGCCCCCTTTAAGGGTCATTAGTCCTGTTAGTTTTGTAAACGTCTATAGTTATGCCAAGCATAAACTCTTAAAGTAGAGTCATATGTTTTCCCATACAGGTTAACGTATAATAAAAAACCCTAACAGTAGCCCAAGGGTTATAATTTATTTAACTTTAGCAGAGAACAATAAGGTTATGTTTTTACAAGTTTAGGCATTATAGTTTCTAGATAATTTATTTTAATACAAGTTACTCCCTTATATAAGAGAAAAAAAAATCATTAAATAAATAAACCATTTTCACAGAAGTTCATCAGGCAAATCGCTACAGCCAAATATTTGTTTTGGTTGGGTTTCAGATCACGTCAACACAATAAAGGACATATTGAGACTTTCAGCTTTACTGGTGCATTATTTCAGGCATAGAATATACAGACACTTCGTCCCTTGATTGTTTTCTATTATTGTGCCCCCACGTTAGTGGCGGGCATTTAGATTTACCCTTGTCAGTCCGTCCTTCCGTCCGTCCGTCCGTCCTTCCGTCCGTCCTTCCGTCCGTCCGTTCACTTTTGTGTCGCACGTAACTCAAAAAGTATTTGACCTAGAGTCATGAAACTTTACAGGAATGTTGATCAGCATGTGTAGTTGTGCACCTGGGTATTTTCGTCTGGATATTTTTAGTATTTTCAGAGTTATTGCCCTTGACTTAGTAAAATTTTGCAATTTTCAACTTGTGTCGCATGTAACTCAAAAAGTATTTGACCTAGAGTCATGAAACTTTACAGGAATGTTGATCAGCATGTGTAGTTGTGCACCTGGGTATTTTCGTCTGGATATTTTTAGTATTTTCAGAGTTATTGCCCTTGACTTAGTAAAATTTTGCAATTTTCAACTTGTGTCGCATGTAACTCAAAAAGTATTTGACCTAGAGTCATGAAACTTTACAGGAATGTTAATCAGCATGTGTAGTTGTGCACCTGGGTATTTTCGTCTGGATATTTTTAGTATTTTCAGAGTTATTGCCCTTGACTTAGTAAAATTTTGCAATTTTCAACTTGTGTCGCATGTAACTCAAAAAGTATTTGACCTAGAGTCATGTAACTTTACAGGAATGTTGATCAGCATGTGTAGTTGTGCACCTGGGTATTTTCGTCTGGATATAATTAGTATTTTCAGAGTTATTGCCCTTGACTTAGTAAAATTTTGCAATTTTCAACTTGTGTCGCATGTAACTCAAAAAGTATTTGACCTAGAGTCATGTAACTTAACAGGAATGTTGATCAGCATGTGTAGTTGTGTACCTGGGTATTTTCGTCTGGATATTTTTAGTATTTTCAGAGTTATTGCCCTTGACTTAGTAAAATTTTGCAATTTTCAACATGTGTCACACGTAACTCAAAAAGTATTTGACCTATCTAGAGTCATGTAACTTTACAGGAATATTGATCAGCATGTGCAGTTATGCACCAGATTTTTTCTTCTGGATTTATTTAGTATTTTTAGAGTTATTGCCCTTCACTTAGTAAAATTTTGCAATTTTCAACATGTGTCACACGTAACTCAAAAAGTATTTGACCTATCTAGAGTCATGTAACTTTACAGGAATATTGATCAGCATGTGCAGTTATGCACCAGGTTTTTTCTTCTGGATTTATTTAGTATTTTTAGAGTTATTGCCCTTCACTTAGAAAATTTTTGCAATTTTCAACTTGTGTCGCAAGTTACTCAAAAAGGATTTGACATAGTCATTAAACCTTATTGGTAGGTTGCTCAGCATATTTAGATTTGCACATGGGGTTCCGCTTGTGAATTTATCCAGTATTTGTAGAGTTATTTCCCTTGACTTAGTAAAAAGATTGACAGAACAGTGGCGCGGTGGGGGCACCCGTGTCCTATGGACACATTTCTAGTTTTTATATTCAATTCATTTGCAAACTAAGTTTGTTGTTCTTATTTTCTAACAAGATCAGACGTGGGCAAGCATTTCACAAATAATAATTTTATTTCAGGAAACAATTGTCAAAACGTACTAAGGTAGAATATGCAATCAAAATGTTGAAAGTTTGTCAAGATCTAATAATCATATATTTCTTAATAATAAGTTACGAAGAAAATACATTGACTTTAGGTTGCAAATAACTTGATACTATTCGCCGATCAAAGGCGTTAAACCTGTGTAATAGTGCTGTACCATATATGAAAAAAAATCACATTTTCCGGTGTTACCGCGAAGCACAATTCACGTACGTCGGCATTACCTCATAAAAACGGCTTGAATCACATTTCATCACTTTACTTTCAATTTTCTATAACTTAAGTTTATGTCACTTGCCTACCGAAAATCGGTATGTATATTATGCATTGTTGTACTTATATGGGCAGACAAAAAGCCAAAATCTCGCTTAAAACGGTTGTCAAGCCATCATTTTCACAAATGATCTTGAAATGTAAACAATTTCGTGGAAATAATCGTGATGAGGGATAAATATCTATATCTTCGCAGTCGTATGTGGCTATTGATTTTTTTTTCAGTTCGGTTAAATAAAGAAATATATCGGCCAGTTTTCTTGGCGCGTTGGAAATCCTGTCAGGTATCCGCCATTTATTGCACAATTCTGCGTTACTTATTGCACTAATCGTGCGTTATTTTCACATTCCGGCGTTACTGGATATACACAGTGCATTATAGAGACATATAACTGTTAAAGTTGGCTATTTATATCGCCAAGAGAGACAAGACAACAAGATACAATCCATTAATTCAAATAGACGTTTTATCATATTTTCTTCCTTCGTTGGTGCCCGTCGACAACAATCCCCTTGAAGTAAATTGGCACTGGTGCCATAATCTCCGTTTGAATCTCCCTTCAATTCATTTTATTGCACGGTGTTTTACAGCAGCTAGAAATTAAGTGAACTTGACTTGTTTTCGTCTCTTTCCTTTTTAATCTCAGTGATTGCAAAAATGTTTGTACTCCAACTAAAGCACCAATTCTTCTTAAAATGATTAAATGATATCAATTTCTGTTTTCAGTACATTTCGAAGTGGCCAGTCTTTAGTAAGCCATATGAGGTTGCATAAAATTCAAAAAATAATGCCAAGAAATAATTTAAGAAACATCGTAAGTAAAGCCGGCATAGACAAAACGATTCAAGCCAACATGCGTATAGAAGATAAAACTATAAGTAAACATTTTATAATTCCAAAAGACATAAAACAGTTTGCTCACACTAAAACTGCAAGTGCATCCGATGAGAAAATGAGCGATGTGATGCTTTCTGTTAAGCCGTCATCATTATCATCAGATAAAAAAGATCGCACCAAGCATGTTGTTGTAAACAAAACCGAAAGTCCTTGCGACGATTTAAAGAAATTGGAAAATTATTCAAATTCTCGGGAATCTTTAAAGAAATCAAAAATGAATAAAGAAACATTCACGTGTACTCGATGCAGGGCACAATTCAAACAAAAAAGTACTTTTGAGTATCACACATATAACGTATGTAATGCAGTGGACCAAAATCAAACATTCAAATGTGAGCAATGTTTCAAAATATTTAAGACGATTTTTGGGTTGAAGTTGCATATGTCTTTTAAACATGCAGGGCGACACAAACGTGGTGAACCATATTCATGCCCGCATTGTAAAAGAGAATTTTCCTTTAAATACAGTCGAGATAGACATGTCATAACACAGAAAAACTGTGCGCAGCCTAAAAAAGTAAACAAGGTGACAAAAAAAGCGGTATTTTGCGGAAAGAGTCAACCATATGCATGTCATATTTGTAAAAGGAATTTTTCTTACAAAGCCAGTAGAGATAGACATGTTAAACTTATTCATAAAGATGCATTGCAACCTAGCCAAGTAGTAACAAAGTTAGGGCTGCGCAAATCGAAGATTCCAGGTCGCACATTATTCTCGTGTCCTCATTGTGAAAAACAGTATGATAGGATACTCCCTTTAGAAAACCATATAAGTAAATATCATCAAAGCATGGTGCAATCAAGCAAATCAGGCGTTGTGTTGGGAGTCCAGGAAAACATTGGGACATCAAAAGATGATGATAAAACAACGTCTATTTATACATGTAAACAATGCAACTCGTCGTTTTTGAAAGAATATTTACTCCGTAAACATGTGATGAAGATACATTGGAAGGAAGACAACAAGTTAAACAGAATTAAACAAACTACTACAAAAAAGATAAAGCTGAGTGAAGAAATAAACGTCTCCGGAAAAAATTCTCTTGCCGAAATAAACGTCTCCGAAAATTCTCATAAACTCAATAGCTGTGAAAGTAGAGAAGACAACGAGTTAAAAAGAATTAAACAAACTACTAAAAAGAAGATAAAAATGTGTGAAGAAATAAACGTCTCTGAAAAAAATTCTCTTGCCGAAATAAACGTCTCTAAAAATTCTCATAAAATCAATAGCTGTGAAGGTAGAGAAGACAACAAGTTAAACAGTATTAAACAAACTACTACAAAGAAGATAAAGCGGAGTGGACAAATAAACGTCTCTGAAAAAAAATCTCTTGCCGAAACAAACGTCTCTGAAAATTCTTATAAACTCAATAGCTGTGATGGTAGAGAAAATACGTTTACACAGCAAAGGGGACACATAATGCAAAGTACTAATGAAAACATCAGTAAAAGATTTACGGATACAAAGAGTAGAAATATCACAATGAACAGCAATGATCGTCTGTCCGACAAAGGTCAACAGTTAAATAGATCATCATTTAAATTAAGAAATGGTAATGCCAATTTTGGGAAGAAACTTGGAGAAGAAAAGAAACAATTAAACAAAGAGATTTTAAAAGAATATCGTGTCGATACCAGTATGTTTGGACAACGTCGACTTGATCCTTCAACAAAAAGGATGGTTCATACATGTGAAGTATGCTCAACAACATACACGATGGCGGAGAATTTGACCCGCCATATCAAACAAAGGGCTTACAACCATGGTTACTATCTAAAGCTGCGAACGGAACAAAAATTAAATAAGCACCAGTCAGTTGATGACACAACTGGGAAAAAATCTAATAATCATAATGAAATACCAAATAATCAGCCACAGCCACCACCAAAACTAATAAGCCGTTTTGCGTGTGATATATGCCTGCAGAAATTTACAAGAAGATTCAATATGCTTTCTCATAGACAGGCACATACCAAAGAGGAATTTAAAACTGCAGGTGCACGCGAAGATGTTTATAAATCGCCGAATGGTGGGACTATTATACATCTTGATGAATATTTTGAACCAAAAATAAATTCAGAACATGAAGTAACAAGTAGTACCAACATTTCCCAAATCAGTGAACTGTCAAATCAAAAGGAAAATGATCGATTGACGGTTTATTTGGACAGGGCAGACGATGGCAATTTCCAAGTATCTACAGATGATTATTCAGAGAACCCAGTCATCACTGCACGTTTATTATTTGCTGAAGCATTCGCTGAAACTGAATTACGTAACAGTTTATCAAAGGAAGATAATTTCAAAATTGTTAAGAAAACACAGAGTATGTCAAATCGTGTCAAAAATAGTAACGTTCCCGAAATACGTGATAAGCAAAGCAATAAATCGAATATGGCTTCAACTTCTCTATGCACAATAAAAGCAATAAAACAAACAGTAGGCATAAACAGACCAAATCAAAAACAAACTCTTGAAAAAACAAAGACAGTAAAAAGCTTGTGTGAGACATATTCTACTAAACGTGGAAGTACATCCACAGTTCATATGGCGGAAGCGCCGAAAGAAATGTCAAATGACATACAAGAAAATAATCAAAAAGAAAATCAAATCATATTACCATTAAGAAGTTACAATACGCTGCCTGTGCAACTTAAAAATACGTGTGCTGAACTTCCAAAAGAATCACGTGTTTCAAGTAAAATTATGCCCTCGAATCAAAACAACATCTCAAATGAATTGACTATCACAAATGGAATAATTGCCAATGAACAAATGGAAAAAGAACAAGAATGTGTTTCTAGTAAGATATCAATTATCCATGTACAAGTGGCAGATAACCATGATTCAATTACTCATATTGATGACAATATTAAAATGTGTATGACTTGTGGAATTGCACTTGAGAATGATCAAAAACGTCTGTGTTGCAAGCTTTGTGATAAGATGTTTTGCATAAGATGTTCAGATTTACCAAATGACATTTACAATGATTTGTTTGATAAAGGTGCAGAGTGTCCCAGTGGCGTAATGTGGACGTGCTGTGTTTGCAAGCATTTAGTTCCAAAATTTACTGTGTTACTTTCACAACTCGGTGACTTTGAACAAATTATAGACAATCGTCTAACTGATATGGAACAAAAGTTATCAATGATAGGGAAGAAAATGAATTAAATTGATGACTAATGACATTCAGTTTCTTTAGTTCATGTATAATTTTGTAGTTTCGAATATGTTTTGTACATGTGTGTTACATATAAACTGTTTATATTCTTGTTCCACAATATTCGTTGTTTTGAGCTAGTTGAATACTATTTAGGGCTTACTCTTATTTTGTAAAGAAGTAGTAATTTTTCCATCAAATTTACTTGTTTTTTTTAATTTGGCTCATTTGTTAAAACATTCATGCTTGGATCTTTTTGTGTCGCCTCTACGGAGTAGTGGCAACATATAGGGATCACTTCTCCGTCGTCTGTCTGTCCGTCTGTCTGTCTGTCTGTCTGTCTGTCCGTCTGTCCGTCCGTCCGTCCGTCACAAAACTTGTCCGGACTACCCCTCATAAACTACTGGTGCAATTTCATCCAAACTTTACAGGAATGATCAGTATCAAGTCTAGTTGTGCATATTGTCAGCATTTTCCGGTTCAATGATTTTTGTCAGAGTTATGGCCCTTTAATAATTTTTAATTTTAAAGTTTGTCCGGACTAGTTCTCTTATACCACTAATGCAATTTCAATGAAACTTTACAGGATTGATCTGTAGCTCAAGTCCTTGCGCATATTGCAAGGGTTTTCCGGTTGAATGATTTTTGGCCGAGTTATGGCCCTTTGATAAAAATGTTTTTTTTTGTGTGTGTTGCCAGATACACAATAGCTTGTCCGGACTACTCCTCATAAACTACTGGTGCAATTTCATCCAAACTTTACAGGAATGATCAGTACCAAGTCTAGTTGTGCATATTGTCAGCATTTTCCGGTTCAATGATTTTTGTCAGAGTTATGGCCCTTTAATAATTTTTATTTTTAAAGTTTGTCCGGACTAGTTCTCTTATACCATTTATGCAATTTCAATGAATTTTTACAGGATTGATCTGTAGCTCAGGTCCTTGCGCATAGTGCACGGGTTTTCCGGTTGAATGATTTTTGGCTGAGTTATGGCCCTTTGATAAAAAGGTGTTTTTTTCTGTGTGTTGCCAAATACGCAAAAGCTTGTCCGGACTACTCCTCATAAGCTACTGGTGCAATTTTATCCAAACTTTACATGATTGATCAGTACTTAGTCTAGTTGTGCACTGTCCGTCTGTCTGTCCGTCTGTCACAAAATTTGTCCCAACATGAAATTGGCCATTATGAGGCGACACATGTGATTACTGATCGCTCTTGTTTTAATAGCTGTATCGTAAAATTTCTGTACCTTCATTTAGTTTGCTATAAAATAGATTTACAATAAGATTGTTATTTTATACATTTTATTTGCTTATTTTAGATAATATGTTTTATATAATAATATTATAAATGTTGTATAAATATTTTAGAAAGAAATGTATGAAGAATATATATTTTTAATCCAAAATTTCAGTTTGTTTAAATAAATACATTTTATATTTGTAATTACATTGTATTAAACTAAACGTTCCGCAAGTGACAGTAACAAATGCAAGCAAAAATATTGTTGTTTTTTTTAAATATTGTTTGTGTTGATGAGGATAATATTCAACAAATTGTGAGAATTTTAACATTGTATTTGGGCTGGCAGATAAAAAATATAAGTGAGTTTAAGTATTATATAAAATATGTTTGGACTTAAGGTACATGCAACAGTTCAATTATTGTATTTTATGTCTTTTTGTTTGTTCTATTGTGTTGTATTTGTTTGGGTTTTTTTGTAAAATACATTTTAGAATTGTTTTAATTTTGTCACAGGCGTTTCTGTCTAGTTACGCCTAGCGCGTTAGAGAAGAAAATACTGTGGAAGCGAAAGATGCATTTTATTCCACAAACAGTTATCGGCCTTTGTTGTAAAATAATACAATATTCGAAACGCAATAATATAAGCATGTTATAGAATTTGAACGATAAACCATGCATTATCGGAGAGGCACAGGAACTTGAAATTCTATCAATATTAATGATAATATCCAAAATATACCCTCTATACAGTATACGGGGTATATTTGGGATATTGTCTTAACAGTGAACATTTTAGCTACAATATCACCATGCACTATATATGGCCAGTGTATCGTGTACCAAACTTTTGCTGCTCCTTTAGCTTTTGAGCCGTTATGACTAAATTACGAAACGGAGATCTATTGGCGCAAATGGCACAAATTTTACAAAACTTTGATTTTCTTGAACATCGTGGTTGGAGGCATGCAGGTGTGTTTACTGTTTATTCCATACACTGCTATGTTAGTCTGGGACTGTGTTTGAAAATGGTTTGATGAAATCTCTGTTGCAGAGGAAATATTTCTATATATTTTCCAAAACATTAATCGAAAATTTGATCATTGAATTTTACAAGAAACTTTTTTGATACTACTTTTCATATATATCATATATTTTAAATTTATTTTGACAACATAACATTAAGTGTTCCCTTTGTTGAAATCATATCCCTGATGCGCCAAGAAAATGTTCATTTTTTCCGGCATATAATCTTTCAAAACATTAAAAAATGAAGTGTAAAACAAACATTCATTATGATACTATATTCAACATATATAATAATTTTTTTTGTTAAATAGTTGATAATTGTTTATTGAATAACAACAAAGGTAAGTATTACTTAGGTATTAAGTGTAAGTATATAGAGATCTTTTTATTTCGGGTAGATAGAAATATGTTCTTATTAATGATAAACTAAAGGGAAGAAACGAAATCTTAAACATTAAACATTTCTCGTTGTACATGTTTCTTCATAAACCTTCACAATCATGTTTTTTTCATGAATATAATATACGTTGTTTTTTTCGATGCCAAGCAGTATGCATTACAAATATAAATCAATAATCAAGAAAAAAGTATCTCGAATCTACAAGACAATTATTCATAATTACAAGATAGTTTTCTCGTCAAAACGAAATTTACCTTATCGTGAATAATAACGTCGTACTTACGACTTAGTATAAGTATCGTAATTACGTAATATAATATGTTTAACTGGCACTGTTCGACTCTCGATTCCTTTTCGTTTTCGACGTAGCACACAAAACAACGCCTTCAGTTCTGTAGCCAAGTTGCCATTCTCACGAATAATATTATTGCCATTCTTATTAATGATCTTTAAAAGTAAACACTCCTCTGGAAAAAATTGTAATATAGCCACTGCCACTACGTGTTTCGAGGAAAAGTGAGACATTGCGATGTTCTGAATCATGATTATACAAACCATTTCTAACTGTTACCAGATATCCATTCACCTTGACCTTTTCGAAATAGAAAAGTTATTGCTATTGCTACAGTCATGTTTTCTTGGTGTTGCCGTTACCGATGCCGTTGCCGCCAAAAAAATTTAGTCATTTTCTTTCGTTAATGTCCAGCACTTTAATAAAAGATTCTTTGAAATACTTTTACAGTGTCCATGTAAAAAATCAAGTGTTCTACTAAATGTTCAAAGAAATATGATAAGCAGCGAAGTCATCTATGTTGGGAAAGATGCTTTAATTTCTTCTTATTCTCTTATTTTCCCACCTAAACTGTAGAAGTTCATTTTTAGCCGCGTCACGACTAAACCAAAATAATGGGTTTGCGACCAGCATGGGTCCAGACCAGCCTGCACATCCATGCAGTCTGGTCAGGATCCATGCTGTTCGCTATCAGTTTCTCCTCTTGTAATAGAGTTAGTTAGCGAACAGCATGGATCCTGATCAGACTGCGCGGATGCGCAAGCTGGTCTGGTTCCATGCTGATCGCAAACCCTGTATGTTGGTTTTGTCTTGACGCGGATTAATTATTATTATCGGTTATTTTTGTCTGGTTGGAGAATGTGCTTTAAACGAATGCAGGACTCAATTCTAGACTATATTAACATTGATCTATAATTGAAATGACCTATTATTGCTAGAAAATATTTGATCATGCATGATACAATTCCTTCCCAACAGAGATAGTGGTATTACTTAACTGTAAACTATTCAGTACGTTTCACCATGAGGATGTAACGGTGTTATTATTAATGATTTTGTTATCAAAGTAATCGGTATGAAAACGGTGTGCTCCTGGTACCGACAATTCGGTCTGTTTGTATTGATATGCATATCCAAAGTAAATGGAGAATCATATAATGATTCTTCAACTCTTTTAACAGATTTACGGATAGGTTACTACAAAGACATTATTCCTATTCAAAACCAATCAAACGTTCTAAAACTTAGTATATTTGTAAAGATGCATGTTATTTCAGAAGTTGATCTTGTGAAAGGATATGTTTCGTTATTTTTTTCAACGACATGTACATGGATAGATGAAAAATTGACTTGGATACCGTCTAAATATGGTGACATTAGATATATATTTATTAATCAAAAAAATGTGTGGACACCAAATTTAATTCTTTCTACAGGAATGGAGTACACACTGATCCGAAATTTAGAAAGCCGAGTGAAGTATTATCATAATGGGGCAGCGTCTTGGAGTCCCATAACTATTGCCAAGAATATGTGTATGTTTTATGTACGATACTGGCCATTTGATAAGCAAATATGTTATCTAGGTTTTGGATCTTTAGACTACTCCATCTATGACGTAGAATTGGATGTAACAGGTGAAGGTATCGACGTATCGACAATTTATTTAGGGGAGTGGGAAATTGAATCATCATTTGGACAGGTAATGAATTTAGGTAACGTCAGTGCTATTGTTTACACTATCAAACTTAAACGACAAGCAACATTTTATGTGCTTACCATAATCCTCCCTGTAACATTTGTAGGACTTCTTGCGCCATTTGTCTTCCTTCTTCCGAGTGAGTCAGGTGAGAGAATCGGATTCTGTATTACAATAATGTTGTCTTATACAGTGTTTCTTACAGTCCTGTCCGAGGAGATACCGAGATCATCGAATCCAGTGTATCTGATATGTTGTTATGTGGCGTTTTTAACAGTGTCCAGCATTGTTATAATTATCATAGTGATCTTGAATCTTAGACTGTATCAACGAAGCAACGCTACTAAAATGAACAAACTGTACTTGAAATTGTACAATTTTGTGTCAGAAAGCAACCTCAAAGGTGGAATCATATCAAGGCAGGATGACACGTTAGGTTTGTCTGAAAATATTGAATTTCCGGAGCGCCCTAACATCAGTAGAAGTGAACAACAGCTTGAATCAACATTGAAAGATGCTTCAGTACCTGCCGGTGATTATGACCAAGACTGGCGCATAGTGAGCAACGTTTTGGACAAAATATTCTTTACTGTTTCTCTTTTATTAATATTAATTCCATCCACTGCATTTCTTGTGTATTTGCCATGTGCGTCTGAATATGCAGAAGGATTATTTTAATGCATGAAAAGTATGCATAATGTTATTGCATCTTTTGATCACTGACTTGGAACATGACTTTATTTTTGACCGGACTGTTCTATTTATATCATATTCACATTAATGAGATATGGTAAAGAAAACTGAGCACATGTTGTAGTTGTTTTGTTTGTAATATAATGGAAAGTGTATTCAGATTACATGTGTGCACTTTGATATCCTATAAAAATATTTTACTTTGAAAAAATGTTGTTTTTTTTAGCTCTTGTACTAAAGCGCAAAGTATTTAACATTCGCGACAGTTGCGATTTAAATGCGCTCGACCTTGAGACTGTTTTTGTCCTTGTAGCAAGGGGGGAAGCTTGAAAGTCCAAATATAACCTTTACATTACTGTAAACCAAACGATGTTTAAATAATAAAACCGAGCATTGTACAGATAAATATTGACTAACAATCAAAAATGAATAATTTGTAAAGATAAACATTTGTTTAATATAACAATAGTACAGCTAGAAAATATGCACAATTATAATAGTTTTATTCAATAGTATTTCTTCTATTAGGAAATACATCTTAATGATATTCTATTGTGATAATCATACAAGAATTGATATCATGTAAGCTCTATAATACTGTATGTTGTGTCTTCTTTATGTACGTTTATATCAAATATCATATCAAATTACAGATCATCAATAGCTCACTGTGTACTTGCACTGATTTTCTTTGTTAGATCATTTCTAAGAAAAATTAATGATAATGCCGTGAAAATTTAAATGTGCAACACTTAGATACTCAGTATTACATAGAGAAAAGAGGAGATGTGACTGTCAATTAAGGTATGCGTTTTGCGTACTACCCAAATAAATAATACATTCGTTTTACAGCACTGATATGGTGATTTGTTTTACATTCTTAACAGGAGATATTCATTGCAAAACAACATCTTTCTTATTCAGAAATCTTACCAGGAATTGTTCACCTAGTGTAGAAGCATTTTTCACGAATATTGTAACATTTTGAAGGGAGTTTTATTACAGCATTTGTAGTAATATTTTTGGATCATTCGTCCTGTCATTTTGTGTATTTTAAGTCATTTTTATAAACTAAAAATATAGAAGTGATATGTCCTTTAATATTGTGTTGCTATTATAACATCGATATTATACATTAATTGTGAAGTTGCATTTATGGCTGATGCTATCTTCCCATCCATTAATATTTGTTTCATTATCCAAACAATTGACCTTTGGGGAAACTACTCATTCGATACTCATTAACGGGAAAAGCGTGTAATTTAATAAATAGTAAATCATATTAGTTCCTGCAACTGAGGTCGTCCTCCATCATGTTTAAAAATTGCTTAATTGTGTATTTATCACTAACTTGTCCCAACCTCCACCATCTATCAAAACAGATGAGTGTCAAACAAAATAAAAAACATAACACACCGATGACAAATAATTATATCATTGAATTTCATTAAAAAAAACTATAAATGTCTTAACCACTTTATTTTGACTAAAAAGCTGTATTTCCTTCAGGGCGAACAATACTATCTCAAACTTTTATGCCTGAGGTTAACTAGGTACCTATTTCTACTAACCATCCTCTCAGTACAACTGTTAGCCTGGGTTCCAGTCTGTCGATTTTTTGTCTGTTATGTTTCTGTTTGGCAAATCGACAATTGATACTATCAAAACGACGAACGAATACGGAATATTTTAGCGCATATGTTATGAATAAAAAAAAATGTTATAAATAAGCAAAAACTATCAACGCCTGAATCCCAGGCTATACAACTGTGTATATCCAATAACGCAGGCATGCGAAAATAATGCACGAATCCAATAGAAGTAACGCTGTGCAAAGCTATGGATATAAACGAGTAACATGGTAAGTAAACGTACCAATATATTAATGTAAATCAAATAAATAGAAATGAATAAGAACATATGGTTTCTTATGACATTATGCCTGAACCAGCATTACAAATATTTCCTGGAATATGTTTATTCGTTAGAGATCATTCGTTAGAATGACGAATTGATTACCGTTTTGGAGGCGGTATTTGTGTTTCGTCGGTATAAATAAGTACAATAACCCATTCAAAACTTTATTGTTTTGATATTCGGTATCTCATAGGCATTTACCGAACTACTTGTGTACAGGAAGAATACAAAATGTTATTCAGGGGCTTTTTATGAGGAAACCATCCGTAAATGCGATCGACCTTGAGACTGTGTTTGCCCTTGTAGTAAGGGGGAAATCTTGAAAGTCCCAATATAACCTTTACATCACTGTTAAAATAATGAAACAAAGCATTATGGAGATTTATACGGAAGCGTCCTGGTGCCAATTTAACATGTTCTATAAAAAAAAAAGATAACTCCTACGTAGGACTTTGCAACTCCTACGTAGGACTTTATAACTCCTACGTAGGAGATAAAAAAGCCTAATAAGGAGTTTATAACTCCTACGTAGGAGTTTGTAAGTCCTACGTAGGACTTACAAACTCCTACGTAGGACTTTATAACTCCTACGTAGGAGATATAAAAAACCAAATTAGGAGTTTTAAAGCCCTACGTAGGACTTACAAACTCCTACGTAGGACTTAATAACTCCTATGTAGGACCTAAAAAAGCCTAATTAGGACTTTATAAATACTACGTAGGACTTTATAACTCCTACGTAGGAGATAAAAAAACCTAATAAGTAGTTTTAAAGTCCTACGTAGGAGTTTAAAAATGTCCTACGTAGGAGTTTATAACTCCTACGTAGGACTTTATAAGTGTTCCTCTACGTAGGAGTTTTAAAGTCCTACGTAGGAGTTATAAACTCCTTATTCGGCTTTTTTTATCTCCTGCGTAGGAGTTATAACGTCCTACGTATGACTTATAAAGTTCTACGTAGGAGTTATAAAGTCCTACATAGGAGTTATAAACTCCTAATTAGGTTTTTTTAACTCCTACGTAGGAGTTATAAAGTCCTACGCAGGAGTTTGTAAGTCCTACGTAGGACTGTTAAACTCCTAATTAGGTTTTTATATCTCCTACGTAGGAGTTATAAATTTCTCATTAGGCTTTTTTATCTCCTATGTAGGAGTTTAAAGTCCTACGTAGGAGTTATCTTTTTTTATAGAACATGTTAAATTGGCACCAGGACGCTTCCGTAGATTTATGTTGACGAGCAATAAAAAAAATGATTGAAATCGCAAAAAATAAACATTTATTTTGAAAATATGTTTAATATTATAATAATATACCATAGTTAGTAAATAATAACAGTATCTTTTCAATAGTATCTCTTATATAAGGTAATACATCGTTATGATATTCTGTTGTGATAATCATACAGGAATTAATATTATATAAGCTCAATAATACAGTCTGTTGTTCACCACTCCGAAATAAAACCAAAAAACTTTACTTTTAAAATTTGCATTTCTTCCGTTTAAATGTAATTTTATATATAGTAAAGTGGTTTAAATATTTTTAAAGGCATCTCAAAATTTGTATAACATTGCCAATATAACTATTTTTTGTAACAATGTTAATTTGTGTTTAACATGCTTATTAAACAATGCAATATATTTAAGATAAAACATAAACTAATCATTATAACGGGAAAACGCATGGTGGAAACTTCACTTCCTATTTCGTAAACACTTATAAAATCTAAACTAGGAAGAGAAAACTCTAAACACGTTTCTTTGTTACGCTATCGGACATTTCTAGTCAAATAGTTTACATCAAAATAAAACTTGACGACAATCAGCAGTGATCTTATCAAATAAATGGACATGTATATTTAAAGTGGCACAACATACATGTACGTATTTGAATACATGCACATGCTATTTTAGTTTATGGTGCTCATCCTCGTGCTTGCAGATGACAACTGGCACGTGCGAATGATGCATGATGTAATTTCTAACGCTGCCTGATCGTGCCCATACCGCGGCTTCTCACGATTATCAGGGGTACTCTTGTTGTTGCGCAGCTTTTATTGTTGCCTCCCCAGGTTTTTCCGGTTTATATAAACGCTCCAATTTATGTGGTACCTAAAAGTAAAACAGACCCATATAATACAAGTATATCACACTGCGTGTTCAATTCAAGAAAATATTTTCTACTAAAGGTTTCAAAATAACACTCAATACATGTACACATGTTAAAAATATCTGAACATATAAAACTCCTGAATTTACACAATTTATCATTATTTCAGTTGGTTTTATGTAGAAAAATATTGCTTTCAGGAGCAGGAAAAAGCTGAACTTCAGGCAAATGCCTGAAAAAATAGTACCAATGCATACATAATGGATACTTGATAAAAATACAGTCAAATATCGATATAGTAAACTCACGTTATGTTTGTTTGTACTTTCTTCACTTGCTCTTCGTGCTATTGAAACATTGCATGTTAAGTTGCTGGACTTCCCATTAATGCCGCCGCTGTAAACAAATAAATCTTCATTCTAGATTAATTCACTGTTTGATAATTGTTTTAATATACAAAATTTACTTTAGTTCGATTGTGTAGGAAGCTATGAGCTTATAGACACACTTTCGAATCCGTTCCAGCGTAAAGTTTCTTGCTCAAGGAAACAACGACTTGCCCCTGACAGGGTTTGAACCCATGCCGCTAGCGATCATTAGATTACTAGTCCGACGCGTTAACCACTCGCCATGCCGCCACAATTTGATATTTAGTGTACAGTACAGTGGCCAATAAAATCGCATTTACTTTTACCAACCTGTCGTCAATCATTAACAATACCAGGGGTTTTAAAGGTTTTCTTTCATAACACAATAGTATTTTGAAAAATCAGAAGACTTTACCAGTAAGAAGAGTTGATATAATGTATGGTTTTAACAATGAGGAGTGATCGGCACTCAATTATTTTGAAAGATTAAAATTTGCCGCAGATGACAAAGTGAAATAAAATGGACAATGCTATTTATACACATCAATGAACAAATGATTAAACAATATTTTTTCCTGTATATTCACTATA